ACAAAGCAAGTGATGCACAATGCAATTGCTCACCACCCGCCGACCCATGCCCAGCCAGTTCCCAAGCAACAGCCATGCCTCCCTGGCCAACTCGCCCCAGTTTTTTGTTCAGCATGACGTCATATGGTGTGGAATATCCCTTTGGCCAGTTTGGGTCAGCTGTCCTGGCTGTGCGCCCTCCCAGCTTCTTGTGCACCTCCAGCCTCCTCGCTGGCAGGGCAGTATGAGAAGCTGAAAAGTCCTTGACTAGTGTAAGCACTGCTCAGCAACAACTAAAACATCGGTGCGTTATCAACATTATTCTTATCCTAAATCCAAAACACAGCACTGTACCAGCTACTAGGAAGAAAATTAACTCTATCCCAGCTGAAACCAGGACAGAAACATAAGACTAGGCTCTTGTCCTGGGATCGCTTCCCTTGGGCTAAGAACTTGTTATTAAATATTTCATGACTTTTCACAAGAGTTGGTGTTAACACCAATGTTTCAGCCAGTTTCCAATTCATGTAATTATATTTTACTTCTGGAAATTTTTCCTGAAGTTTCAATTTTATGTCATCCATTTTTTTCATTACTTAAAATACTGGGCTTTGTTTCTATGTACTGTTATACAGCTGAAGTTATCTGTCCTGGATTCTAGTAGTGGGTGAGGTGGTTTTAATAAATACAACCTGTCTCAAAAGAGCAATGCAGAGATTAGCTATTAGACTGCTACTTTAAAGTTGTCAGATGAAAGATGCAATCATAGTATGAAGTATAATCTGTTACTGTGTTGTTCTCCATCATACCTTTTCTACTTAAGCACAGCCCATAAAAATTTACCTCTTTCTTAAGAAAATGCTATTCTGCCTAAAACATTCCCCAAAATGTTACAGAAATAAGATATGGAGAGAAAAGGGCCAATATCAATCAGAATTTAACAGCTTTTCTTGCAGAAACATTTTTAATGTAGAATCAGAGCTGCTATAAGTCATGCTGAAGATCGTAGGCTGTATTGTAGTTTGTTTTTGCTCTTTCCTAAGAATTTCTAGACAAATACCTACAAGAAAAGAGAATCTTCCCCATGAATACTAGGAATATTCTCAACTGAAAAGTTAGATTTCTTTCATTATAAACTGAGAGATATTTATGTTTTACTAAGAAAGAAGAAATGAACTGGCTTGAGCCTTTGCAAATCACAGTGGTTTTCTGCAGAGTTAGACCAGTGTTTTGTAAATAGGTAATTTCAATTTAATCTTCGAAATTTGTTTCATCATCCTTTTCATGACAAATTTTTGTATTGATCAATGTAGTAGCTGCAAAAGAAATTTGGAACTGGGATTCTGGGTTTCAAACTACATCTGAAACAAACCAGCAGTGGTGCAATCTGTCATCCCTGTTGGTTGCCTCAATGGAATATAAGGATCAAAGTGAAATTTATCCCTCATATAAGACTAGATAATTAAGTGTCATTTAGTTCTGGTCTTGGTGCATGGGCCCTCTTTGCACAACAGTGAATTTTACCTTTAACCAGAACAGAGACTAAATGACTCCTTAGAGAGCCTTTGCAGAGCATAGTTGACGCGTTAGCCAGAAAGGGAGGAAACGTGCACTCTGGTGATCATCACTGTATCTCTTCTGGAAAGATGTCAGTCACCAAACCTGTCAAGATGGCATCTTCCTCAAACACAAAAGCCATTAATGAAAATAAGTTCCAGCCAGCAAATAATGTCTTCTGTGGGTGAAGGAGTCAGGGGAATTACAATTGTAACTTGTGTCTTCTCTTGTTTTTATCTCATATCTTTGCCATCCAAGGGCAAGTAAACAGTCTCCTCAGAGAGTGATCAGCTGCTAGAGAGCCTTGCATTAGCAAGGTGGGACCGAGCGAATTACCTCAGCAGTGTTTTCCATTCCAACAACAGCAGGACAGAGATCCTGAATTCATTCCCACTCTTTAGTCTCCCCTTGGTTACTATGCGAACAAAACAGTGATGAGGAGATTTTAATTCAAGATTAGGAATTTCATGCATTAACATAATGGTTCTTCAATTTGCTGTTTAAAACATGAGTAAATGGAGAACTGAAGGAAAAACAGACCTTTAAATTAGGTCTCAAGAGAAGAAAAATTTAATCCTTGCACATTGTAAATAAAGCAGTCTATTCCAGCCATTAGATTTGCTAAATAAAGAAAATGATAACACACACTTCATACACAACCGACTGAGACGTCACAACTGACTCTTCAGAGCAAATGCTTTGGGTCTGTGCACAGACATTCGATGAGTGATAAGGTTTTCTCCTTAGCTGTGGTACTGTTGAGTTTCATGAACTTGAATGAACTTGGCAGTACTACCCCTGAGGTTTGTTTAGGGCTGGAGGCAATTACAGCACCTCCCCTTATTAAAAATAATTTTATATTGACTGTGCAGTTAGCAACCAGGATGTCTGCACTGTCCCAGTTCATTTTCTGATTACAGCTCAAGACGAGAGAATTTAAGAGAATTTGAACTGCACTTCAGAGAAGTATGATATGAAAGCTGCTGATTTTACTCCGTAAATTTCCTCCAAGCAAAAGGATGAGAAAATTACAACAAATCCAAGCAGTTCATTTGGTGTGGTTCAAATTACAATATCCATGCATATCTACATTACAATCCTTTTTGGGTTTTTTGTTGTTTGTGGCTTCCTGTTCATCTTTTTTCCCCTCAAATTTTCATCATTGCTTGTAATTTCCTGGCTTCATCACGACTCTTTCTGACAAACCTTCTGTTGCTGCAAGGTGCACAAACATGCATATGCAAGGACTGAGCAAGGAAGAGGCAAGTGGTTGTCAGAAGTATGTTAATTACTCTACTTAATGTATGCAATATCTGCTTTCACATTAAAAGTATAGTGCCAATCATTTAAATTCAGGTGATTAGGAGGATTGTGAGAAAAAAATAAAGTAAGCACCTGGCAAGGTAGTCCATCAATTTTTTTTTATTGTTTTTTTAAATTGTTTTCCAAAACAAGAAGATGAAGGAGGGCAATCCCTTCAAGGCCACAAGCTTAGGAAGAGCTTATAAAATTTGGTGACAAGATTAAACACTTAAATACACTAATTTTGTTCCAGGCTTGCAGCCTTTTCCTTTTCTTGGCTGCTGGTCCCACTTAGCTAAAACAACTGTGATAAACATATACCTCAGCGCTGGCAGTTTGGAGGCTGGGTTTCCCTCCCACAACTGAGTGAACAAATGGCAGCAAGTTTGTGACCTTTCCCTAGTGGGGAAAAAGAGATGCTGGCTTACCACATTGGGAATCAATGGTGAATTGCTTACTGCATCCCTGTTAATTAATCTGCACACATTTATGGACTTCACGAATAAGAAAAGAATATAATTTTCTTGACAAATCTGAATGGGATCAGTTACGGATGCTCTCTCCCTCTCCCTCTTTCTTCGTGTCTCTCTCTGTATGTATATATGTATGCATGTTTATGTAATCGTATGCCCTGAAGAGGGCTTCTTAAATACACAGTTAAAAGCCTGAAAGACACAAATGAAAATCAGTCAAAACTTTTTCGCAGCAATTTTAACTTTGATAGGGAGCTTGACAGCTACTTTCAAAAAGTGAATTTTAAAAAAGAATTATTTAAGCAAAAAGGTATCTTCCTTTTAGGGAAGGCAGCACAAACAGTTAAGTATGTCCTCCAAGGTTCTGTTATTGCACATTTTAATTATAACCTATTTCAATTTACTTCAACTGAAAAATGTCTCAAACTCTGTGAAATATTTTCTTCTATGCAGATTTAACATATTTAGTTATAGTAGGGGTACATTTCTCTAGAACTGGAAGGGGGCAGGAGGAACAGAAAGGGAAATTTGGGGAGGAAGAAATACTAAAATGAGATCTTTAAAATCAAATACTAAACATGATTCTATCTTGATACAGACTCGCCATCCTTAAATTTCACGTACATCCATTCTTCCAAGATAATCACACAGTAAGGTAATTTCTTTTTGTCCCCACTGTAGAACAACTGACATAACAAACTATAGTGGGAAACGCTGAAAATAGATTCTGACCAAAAATGTAACTTGGTGGGTTTTTTTTCTGTCGTCTTGCATGCACATGCCCTTTTCAATTGCTTGATTATTTTTGCTTGTTGCTTTTTGCTTGATTATTTTTGGTTTGTTTGTTTTTAAACAGCAGCAATATAAAAATGTTTCCATGGCCTTCCTTGACCAGGTACAAACACACACACACGTATATATTGTAAATAAATCAGTGCTAGTATCTCATTATCCTCATCACAGCCCTAATAATACATATTCATACAGAAGGAGAATAATGCATTGACAAAAACAAAACAAGAAGAACCTCTAGTATTCAGTCTGAAGGGTTCAGTTGTTTATTATATAGAAAGGCAAGATTAAGACAAATATTACCATTGTGATAGCCTCTTTATTTCTGCAGATGCCAGCACTGGGCTTGGTCTCCAAAAGATATTTCAGGATCATACAGGTTTTGCATAAACCTGATGCAGAAGAGGGGGTGTGCAATGGCATTTAACAGAAAGAGCATCCTAAATATGCAGCTGCCTACAGAATCAGGGTGGGACTCATCTGTCAGTGTATATGAGAAAAATGTCATATATGGGCAAAGCCATAACGGTTTTCAGCCACAGAACGAAAATAAGTGGGATTTTATACTACAGCAAGGAAAAATCTAGTACCTTCTATCAGCCCTGAGGAGTAAGAGTTGCCTGCTCCATCGCAATCACACTAGCATTTTGGAAGCACACCGAATACAACTTATCTGGAAAGGGTGCAAAGGTCTATGTTTTCATCATAGATCCAATTGATGCCATTACAGAGACATGATTCTGGAATAGCTGATGGGACACCATCATCCATAATGAATTTGTTGTTTTCATACCCTGTAGAGAAACAGTCTAACCTATCTGCCGACAGAAATGACTTTGAGAAAACACAGGTTTGAACCCATCCCAGCTCCGAGGCGTTGGACACCTCTGACGGGCCATGGCGTTCACTCCATCATCTCCGGGCTCTGCTGGCTCCGAGCACAGCCCATGGTGCCCGCAGATGGCTGCAGCACGCAGCCCAGGGACACGCAGTGCTGGCAGCAGCTGGGTGTCCCCCCAGCCCCGTACCCTGGGCAAGGAGCCACACCTGCACTAACCTCAGGACAGCGGAGCAAAGCCCATTCCCAGACCAAACCGACATAGCTGGCAATTGGGAAGGTGACTAACTGTGATGGCCAGTACAAGCACTGAAAAGCATCCATCGGATTTTGGGATGTGTTGAAGTGGCTTTCCTCTGATCTATGCAGCATGCATCTTTAGCTGCCCTTCCCCTGACAGATGAGTACTTTTAAAACTAAATAAACACACAGTGTGTCCAAGTATGTCATCAAATGACCTCCTGCTACCATTATTGATGAGTTACACCTGTTTGCCAACAAATATGCTCCTTATCACCGTCATGTGAGTAATCAGGTAAATGTTTGAGTAAACAAGTCTGCCCAGTGTGAGGCCCTGGCAGCTATCTCAGCCGGATGCAGATGAAGACCCTTTACAGCTAATACGGAGGTAAGGCTCCCCAGAGACTTAAAGTGGCAGAGAAGTTCATCACTGGTGGTTTTATCACATTTCCAAAGGGCTACTGTAAGGACTAAACTAAATTTAGAAACTAGACTTTACAGATCACAGCTGTCTGATTCAGATGCTGGCATGGCACAAAAGAAGAGACATGTGCCCCCACTGATATTCACGGACACACCAGCAACGTGGTCCCTGACTAGCTGGGGCAGGCTGTGAGCAGCTCAAACAGCAAGCTGGCTTCAGAACAAGCTGGGGTGCCCCCAGGCCTGGTCTACGAGTGCTCTGTGCCAGCATACATGGTGTTAGGGCAATGATAAATTAGCCCTTCTCTCGTGTCTGATATTCACCCACCTGTGAGGATACCTGAGACACGGGGGCTTTACAGCTGTCCCTGGAAACACACAGTGACCAGAGACTGCAGTATTTGTTAAAAGACTGCCTTAGGTAGTGTCAGAACTAGGGGGCTAAATAATGCTTGTATTTAGACGGTGTATGTTTGTCATGGATGCACAGAATGAAGAAAGGACTTGAAAGCCCAACTGAGCAAAGAGAGGCGTCAGGGTTTGGCAGGTCTAAGGAAACACACTCAGAAAGAGGATGGGCAAGAAAAAGGGAGTAGTGGGACTCCTTCCCCACCCATCCCAAAGCATGTCAAGAACACACAAAGGAGCAATCTCTGTCATCACAGGCACTTTGCACAGTCTTTTTCCAAATATTCCCAGAGGAAGTATGATTCTGCCCTGCCCCTGCTTCAGCCCCTGTCTAAATAGCACCATTTAGCATAGTATAAGCAGAGTCAAGGCTGCACTTTTTTTTTTTCTTTCTTTCTCACTCTCTGCAAATTATTGCTGAGTTCACTACTGAAAATGATAGAGCAAAGTGTTTGTTTTGCTTACCGGCTCAAAGAGCAGGTAAAATATTATCTGAAGTTCATGCCACAAATATATTTTGTTCTTATCTTTAGTAAACATTTAGTAACAGTGAAGCTCTCATTATCAACAAGAACTGTGTACCTAAATCCCTTCCCTCCCACCCCTGATGTCTTTTACTCCACAGCTGATAAAATGCTTTCAATTACAGAACTCTACTCACAAGAAAAGACAGAGACACGTGAAAAACTTGTGTGTCGATTGTGTGGCAGAGACACTGTACATTACACTGCATTAGAGGGCTCATAATAAAAATTGGTATGAATGATTGGAATACCAGAATGAGAACAGCTTAGAGGCTAGTGTTCATTATTGCAGCATCTTCTAGTGCTGCTATAAATAAAGGTTTCTAAACAATTCCATATTATGAACCTCTAATTTCAGGAATTTATAACCTGGATGTAAAAAACATCCCTCTCAGCTGACATTTAGAAAAATACTAAATTTGAATATAAATGCCTTTACTGAGTACATACCTAGATATATGTACAATATCTCTATTTGTAAATCCATAGTTTTCTATCTACCTATCAAAAAATATAGGTCGTACTGGCTTCAGAAACTCTTTTTAAAACCAGAGAGAAGATGCTTGAACTGTTAACTGATGTTTTTAATAGGAAAATTCAGTACTGGAGATTTGTTTCATTTACACATTAAGTCATGGTGTCATATTTTAAAAAACAAAATAGTTTCTCACACCTGAAAACCTGGAACTACTTAGTACTTGCCTTGTAGGTCACAAGTGAAAATGAGCCTGTCCACTCTGTTTCTACATTAACGTTGGAAATGAGCTGCACAGCATGCAACTGGGTGTTACCCTCCTTGCAAGAAAAGCTCAGGAGTGTAATTAGTCTCCATACTTAGAGATTTGGTGCTGCAGAAAAGGTAAGAAAATTCAAACCAAACCACTGTTTTTAAAAGGAAGGGACATACATGAATCTCCAGATTTGTGTTACTTTATCTGTTCTTCTAAATTAGCCAGGACATCTGCCATAAGGAACACGGCCACGTTATCTCTCCACTGACTGCGCAGAAAGCCAAGGTCTGGCAGCCCGGACAGTGGCCGGGACAAACCCTTCATTATCACAGCCTCCAGCACAGGATTAACACCACCTATGGCAGGTGGTGGAGGAACAGGGCATTCAACATCTGCTCAGACTTCAGACCAAGAAGCCCTTAGTCATTGTGTGGATTGCAGTAAGATCTCATGAGAGCAGCACGCATCTGTGGAGATCTCAGGAGATGGTAGCTACCATGCTCATGTTTTCTCTTCTCCTGTTCCTGCTTGAGCTCCTGTTTGTGTAACTAAACCTTTGCCACTGATTTCACAGGGACTAGCATTTCATCCTCTCTTACCTTGCCCTCTCAGCCTACTATCTGCACCCTGCTCAGTAAATTCAATTTAAAGAAAAAAAAAGAGAAAAAAAGGACATATTAAAAGGTCATTTAATGGCATTTTGATTTGCTAGGTGCAACAAAAGATGCAATGGATTATATAATAAAATGGTGCAAAAGGCAAAGAGATCTCCTGCAATGTTCACTTCCCAAATGTAATGAGATTTTCTTCTGTTTATGATTTGTCTTGACACTGGAATCCAAGAAGTGCAGGATCTGTAGTCTGATCGACCTGACCTTCAGGAAGAGAATATCAGCAAATGTAGCCAGGTATGAGAGTCTTTTCTAAAATCAGCAGAGGAATTCAGACGAATTACATCGAAATTGGATTGCTTCAGACAAACAATATGACATTTCTTTGCTTGGAATTTTATGAGTATTTTAGGTGACATGTTTTTAACATATCAATTATTCAGAACTATTATTTAATGTAAAATATATTTGGCTTCATGCAACCTTCTAATAAACAGTAAGCAAAACAGGAAAACATTTGCAGTAAAAACTAAGAAAACGGGATAAGCGTAATAATTCTTTTTAGACTGTCAAATAGCAAAAAAGTCATTGGGGGAAAAAAAAAGAGTAGACTGATTGGGGCAAAAAAAAAAGCTGTATCAATGCAACTCCATTGTTGAAATCCACGGGGAAAAAAATGTGGTTTAGCTACTAGAATTAGAAGTACCCTTCAGGTCCCATGGGGAAGGAAATACCTGTGACCCGTCAGGATGTGGAGGGTAAGGCACTCTGATTGCAGATAAGGCTGAGTGAGCCAGCACAGGGTGCATAAGGTCAAAAGAGAGAGGCGTACTTAGCTCTGCACACTGGTTTAAAGAGCTGCTTGCAGAGGTATTGATACAAATAGTCCCTTGCTTTTCACACACTGTTTCCATATCCTGCACCGGTGCTGGGAGTAGCAGAATGAATTATTTTCATGGGAGGGGAAAAAAATGGGAAATAAAGCACTTTCTATTAAAGTCTATTAAACAATGCAAAGTTGCTTCACAAAAAAAAAAAAAAAAAAAAAAATTCCATGTATTTTACCCAGAAATGTCTAACTGCAGCTTTAGTCACACAGTCAAGGAGTACAAAAAATGATCAGTTGACTATCCCCGTGAGTCTGAACGGTAT